TCCAAAAGCACAGCCAGCAGCCTCTCTGACAAGGACAGCTCAAACTGCCTGTTTAGCAGGGGTCAGGGGGCTGACAGCATAGGTAAGAGTGGGCGAATTAGTTTGCTTAATATACGTGACAAGCAGGTAAATTCTATACTGCTCAAATTAGAAGCCAGTAATTTGCATCCACCTGTATTTATATTTGACAATGCTATCAGCAGTCAGAGAAATCTAAGCGTCCATTGAAAACTAAGCTAGGACCCAACTAAATTCACTTCCCTCAGGTTTGAGTGTTATTTACAACTGTCCTCTTCAGAGAGGAAGCACTAATGCATTAGCTACAGCACAGTGGGTACAAGAGTCCATAGAGAATTTATCCATGAAAACCAGAACGTGATGTTACAAAGAAATCTAATATGGAGCAATGAAACCAGAATTCCTGCTTTAAAAATAAGTTAACTAAACTCAGCTGCCAGAACATAAAGGGTGACGTGCTTTTAATCTCTTTTGTATCCAGAGTAATCTAAATGCTGCTGAAAGCTACTCAATATCCCCATGTGATCAACCTACAAGAAAAAAAAAAAAAAAAAAAAAAAAAAAAAGACAGTTTTATCTCAGGAGTTAAGTGGAAATAAGGAATTTTGGGTGGAAACACTATCTCTGGCTTAACAATAATTTTGCTGCTACTATAGCTTTATTAGTTTTGCTAACCGATATAATTATACAGTGAGGTCTGAGCAGATGGAGATGGTGACACCATCTCAACATCTTCCATGGAAGCTGGCAACCCTCTAAAGAAATTACGTAGCTCCTGGGTGTACCTGTGGGTAGGTCCAGGAAGGATTCATCCACGAACTCCAATAAAGTGCTAGTCCCAAGGTATCTGTTTGTCAAACTCTTCTTGGCAATTCTAGAAGTTCTACAGTAACTTTGTGGATGACAGGAAAAGTTATAGGAAAATAGGGACACTTTCTGATTTCACCTGGATCAGCACGTACTCTGCCAACTTCAAAGGATCTATGCCAGACTCACGCTGCTGTCACTTTTGATTTTTCACCTCCACCTTTTGTGCCTCTTGAATCTGTGTTTGCTCAATCATTTTATCTAGGGTAGTCCAAGAAGAAAATAAGCAAAAGGAAAACAAGCCCCTAAGAATGTTATTTATGTCTCTTGCACTGTCAAACCACAGGTTTGGAGGGAGTTGATCAAACAGGCCTCCCACAGACCCACTGTGCTTTCAGTCACAGAGTTTATTGCACAAGAAACTCACAACACGTCAGGTCCTTAAAGTTACATGATTGAGACTTATAACTAGGACATAAACTAAATACCAGACTAAGCTCCTGTTTCCATGCCAAAATCCACTGCCACATCCATGCAGCATTATTTCACTCTTGAAAAATCTGGGGGGGATCATAAACGAAATCATCAGGGATTTTCAATCAGCTATTTATCCATTTAGAAATGCAAACAGGATCCATTTTACTGCATGCCAAAGTCACAACAGCCAAACAAAACCCCTAATTTCTAACTTCTGGAAAAGTTTGTGAACACAAACCTACTCCAGTCCCCCCACTCAGCCTCCCAGTTTGAATTTCACACAACATATAGATCACTAGAGGCTTCCCTTACATGCGAGTTTATTTAAACAAGTTGCAGAGACTTGCAATTATCTACTTTCCAACCCATAAAATAAAAGGCAAGTCTAAACTTTAAACGTTGCAATGTAGACAAAACGCAATTTAAACCCTTCATTTCTTTTGTCATTACCTTAAAAATAGCTGAGCGGCCATGAATAATAAAAGCAATTCAAGTCTCACCCCATCTCTGCCGGTGTCAGCTTCTTTCTCTCCCGTCCTTTCTTCTGCTGCCTGAGATTCTCTCCACGTTTTGATTTATTTCTCCCTTCCTCTTTCTTTCTGTCTTTCTCCGGATCCGGATGCTCTTTAAATTTCCTCCGGAATTTCACTTGGAAATCTTGCTAGTTGCGCTGGTGGCTCCGAACACCCCGTAATCCCCGGGGGTGCGGGGCAGGGAGGGCAGGGGCCGCCCGGACCCCCCCGCCCTGCGGCGGCGCACACCCAGCCCCAGCCCGGAGCGCTCGGCGGGGAAGTTCGGCGGCGCCCCC